GCAGTATTTTAAGGCCTTAATTTGCATTTTTAAACTTTGGAAAAAGTGTACACGGTAGAAAAATTATTTCGAATCTTAAATCGCCAAATATTCTAGAATAAATACAACGAAAAGCAAGAGGAATACCTATTCCTTCGGTAAAAAGTATCAACCGAAAAAATTGTTAAGTAGTTTAGCTGTAGGATGCGCTTATTTTTGTACTAAATTCCTTGACCTCGTCGGTCATTTTCCCCCTGCATTTGGGCGAAATCTATTTTCGTAAATTTCGTGCGAAAAAWTTTTTTTTTCCAAAACTAACAACACCTCGATTTATTTTACACTAAGGGCTATCTAAAAACCAAATATGAGCGAAATCGATTTTTTGACTTGTGCCGATGTTTGGTCGACTCTTACAGAAAGTCGCTCTTAATACATTTACTAACGGGGAATACAAATGCGATGATAATGTGTCTGGTGGACAAGCTGGTGACTCTTGGAAGATGTTTGTACGTTAAGCTCAAGATAATCCGCCTGCTGACGATAGATTTAACGTTACTAGTGTTTGATAAAGTTCAGCCAAATCCGTCAGATGCATCGTTTCCTCCTTGAACTGAATCTTTAGTGCACCAAATCACATTAAGTTGAACTATGTTCAGAATTTACCAATGCTGGTTGAATATTTCATAAATATTTTCTAGTATTTAAGAGCACCAATATAGAAAGACCACGCTGTTTACTATCACAAGAAAGGCGCTTGTATTGAGATGGCACAACTTTATTCTTATTTATTAAATTTAAAGTGCACCTAGCCCCTGATAAATACTTCAATATTCCAGAATTGATTCTACATAAAGTGAACATGAATGTTCATTTGAATGCTGAGTCTTTAAGTTTTGTAGGCTTATCTTCTATTATGTTACTGACTGTTTGCATGTTTTGACTTTGAATACTAAACACAAATGACCTCAAATTTACAATAAACATTTACAATAAACACATTGGAAACCTTGAGTTAAAAGTTAAAATTTGTATATTACTAGATTGCCTGTGGCAGCCCAGTCTAACAATGCTTTGCTGATGCTCCGGCTAGAACATTTTCTTGCGTCCTAATTCGTACATCCAAGGGCAGACTATAAAATTCCAACGTGAATTTCACTGATTTTATAAAGGACAACATAATTACGTTGCTAAAGCTCGAAATGTAATACGACAAGATGGATGTTTTCGATTATTTTTATTTTTATAAGCTTTTTACCCAAAATGGCTTTCAGTAGGTATAGCTCT